AAAGGTAATTTAAAAAGGTAACAATAACCAGCTGAAAAAAATTTACATAATGGAAATCAACATGAGTTAAAACTTACATTCAAAATGTCAAAGCTTACAGTAAAGATGTAAAGAAACCTGTTGTTTATTTACAACCTACAGGTTGGATCCCTGGTCAGGGCACATACAAGAATCAACCAATGAGTGCATAAATAGGTGGAACAACAAACGGATGTTTCTCTCTCCTTTCTCTTCTCTCTAAAAAAATCTATCAAGAATAATTATAAAAAATAAAAAGAAACAGCAAGGAGGCCAGTGTGGTTGAAGAAAACTCAATAGGGAGGAAAGTAGGAGGAGATGAAGCCAGAGAGGCAATAAAGGAGAAAAGTGTATTGTGGAGACTTTGGCTTTTACTCTGAGACAGGGGACCTTCGAGGTGAGTAGAGGAATAAGAATAGACTAGGAGGGCAAAGGCAAAATCAAGGAGGCCAGTTAGGTGCCTATTTTAATAATCCAGGTGAGAGAATTAATGATGATGATGGCTGGAACCAGAAAGGCAGTGGTGAGAAGTGGTTGGATTTCAGATATATTCTGAAGATACTAATACTAGTACAATGAACAGATACCCTGACAGACTGAGTATGAAGGACAAGAAAGAGAGAGGAGACGAGAACAACTGTCTTGTCAGTTGGCTGAGCAAGTAGTGTTGCTATCAACTAAGATAGGAAAGAGCAGTTCTAGAAGAAAAGTCTAGGAGTTCAAACAGGCACTTGAGGTATGAATTTGGAGCTCAGGTCTGGGCTGGATGAAGTCATCTGACTTATTATACTCACAATAACTTCTAAGATGTACAGAAATACCCCTTCCTTCCTAATGAAGACACGGAGGCTTAGAAGTAATAATATGTCACAGTTTGGTTCCCAGTCAGGGCACATGCCTGGGTTGCAGGCTTGACCCCCACCCAGTAAGGAGGTGGGGAAGGAGGCAGCCGATCAATGATTCTCTCTCATCACTGATGTTTCTATCTCCCTCTTCCTCTCCCTTCTTCTCTGAAATCACTTATATATATATATATATCAATTATATATATCAATATGTATAATTGATTTCCTAGCTAACAATTGCTAGGAAACAGGATTCAAACTCACTATGCCAGCTCCTTGCAATGTACCCTGTCTTTGGGGGAAGGGGAAGAGTCTCAATCAAGCAGTGATTCTTACTAACCTGTCCTTACTACCACTCGCAGCCTCTGGAATAAAGAACTTTAAATGTGAGTGGTTAGCTGGTTTTTAGCATCCAATTTACCAGGGCCATCTGCCAGAAAGGCACGGAGAGAAAAACAACAACAGGAAAGAAGCCAGGAAGGCAGAGGGGGGAGCCCTTTAGAAATGTGCTGAAGCACTGCAAGGTTCTCCAATTTTGAAAACTCTGAGAAAACATAGATTCCTTAGCAAAGAGTGGGATGGCTTATTTTGAGGAAAGTTTAGCTGTCAGAGAAAAGCCTAAGCTAAGGAATAAAAAATAACTGCTTTGTATAATGGCAAAAGCAACAAACTGTACAATAATGCAAATATCAGAAAAAGAGATCATAATACTCTTATTGGAAGCACACAAACAACTGATAATGCAAAGCACTGTCACTACATTTACCAAGGGAAAAAAACCGAAGCGCCAAGTTTTGTCTTGCAAGATCCAGGTGATCTGGTCCGGGTGCCATTCCTCGCCTCTTTCTTTCTAAATACGTTTTAATTTATTTCAGAGAGGAAAGGAGAGAGATAGTAACATCAGTGATGAGAGAGAATCACTTATCAGCTGCCTCCTACACACCCTCACTGGAGATTGAGCCTGCAACCCAGGCATGTACCCTTGACCGAAGTAGAACCTGGGACCCTTCAGTCTGCAGGCCAAAGGTGCCATTCCTCACCTCTTTCTTTCTAAATACGTTTGAATTTATTTCAGAGAGGAAAGGAGAGAGATAATAACATCAGTGATGAGAGAGAATCACTTATCAGCTGCCTCCTACACACCCTCACTGGAGATTGAGCCTGCAACCCAGGCATGTACCCTTGACCGAAGTAGAACCTGGGACCCTTCAGTCTGCAGGCCAACACTCTAGCCACTGAGCCAAATTGGCTAGGGCTCCTCATCTCTTTCATAATGCTCCAACTACACTGGCTTTCACCCTGGCCGTCAACTATGGATAGGGTGTTCTCATCTAGTTGTCTTTACAGCACTTGCTATTTCTTTTAAGGAATTCTCCTCTCCTTAATTTAGGTCTCAATGCAAATGTCACCATTCTGATTGAAGACTTCCTGGCCACTTAATCTAAAATATTTCACTTTACATTTTAACTTAAAACTCCATAGTACTCAGTTCTATCTGAAAATCTACAAGGAACTTGAGGACATAACTCTGCCTTCTAAATATAAAACCCAGAACAACGGTATATACACAGTATTTGTGTGAATCCTGGAAAAAAATTATGTTTGAAAATGATAGAAAGCAAAGTTAAAAACAACAACAACCCAACCCTAGCTGGTTTGTCTCAGTGGATAGAGCATCTGAAGGGTCCCGGGTTCTATTCTGGTCAAGGGCACATGCCAGGGTTGTGGGCTCGATCCCCAGTAGGGGATGTGCCAGAGGTGCCAATCAATGATTCTCTCACATCATTGATGTTTCTATCTATCTCTCCCTCTCCCTTCCTCTCTGAAATCAATAAAAATATTTAAAAACCAGAATAAACAAAAAAACAACAACCCAAACCAAAAAACTCTTAATGAAAAAGTCTGTAATGTCAGAATATTCAAATACTCACTGAATCTCCGTCATCTTTTTTAGAATCCCTTTTCAATGGCTCATTCATATCTTCTTGACTACGGAAGCTGAAATTCTGAATTGCTTCAGTGACACCTCTAAGAGAGCTATAAATGTCTTCAGAGTTCATATTTTCTGTGTCATAATCAAACGCACTATAAAAAAGACATCAACTAATTTTCATTTATGTGCAGTTTTAAAATACTAACACATTCGAGGAAATTATGAACGAGATTTATAAAGATGGGATTAGAGAATGTGTATTCCCCAAAGCAAAACAAAACCCAAAAGCTATAGATGGTTAAAGTACATGTCTCCTTGTCCACCTATTAAGGACAGCTTACAATGACTCTCACCATGTCACAAATGGTTTGTCTTTTCACCTTTAAAGATGTTCTGATTAACCAGGGGTCAGCAAGCTATGCCCCTGAAATCTAATAGTTTTTTTACATTTTTAAGTAGTTGAGAAAAAAAATCAAACTAATTCATTACACATGAAAATTATATAAAATTAAAATTTTAGGGTGCATAAATAAAATGGTATTAGAACATAGCAATCCTAATTTATTTGGGTATTGTCTATCGCTATTTTCACCCTATAACATCAGAGTTGAGTAGAAGTGACAAAGACTGCATGGCCACAAAGCCTAAAATATTTACCATATGGCCCTTTGCAAAAGGTTTGCTAACTCCTGTGATAAACTCACTAGCAACAGAGATAAATGTATTTACACAATTTTGTAAGAAGGCAGAGAATTTTTAACATTGAACATATTATTGACATGAATTCTATAATCACATTCTAAAATTCAACTGAAGCTGGAATGTAGCTACTAAAATTGTTACATAACAGGAATAGGCTACACGAAAAGTGTGCAACATATTTTTCTTCCTTATGCTGATGAAGTAGCCTATAATTGCAATGAATATGATGAAGCATACTATGGTATGTATGGCTAATAACAAAAAATCCAGCTCATAACTACAAATGGACTACTATGCAAACTACTTTTTAAAAGGACAGGAAAAAGGAAAAACTATTATTTTTTTAATGAGTCATAATGTCATCTGAAATATAGCCCAAGCTTGAATTGCACAAGTGTGTGAAAATTATATGTTATATTTTATATTAAGGACCAATCTCAGTTACATTTCCCCCTAATTAGTATTACATAATGTTATCCCTTCTCTATTTTTGTTTTTGTCTATAAGCTTTATTTTTTCCACTTTTAGAAGTGGTTGGCTAATATTAGATCTAAATATCCATCATTATAACTTGCCCTCACTATTTTTACTTAGTACAACTAAAAGACAATTTGCAATTTATTGAATGTGTACAGCATATTTGAGAAACTAACTATGCTACTCAATGTAACAAGCTGTAATTTACAAAAGCTATGTCACTAAGTTTTCTTTTGACTTATTAAAAAAATTCTGTATCATATACATTATTATTTAAATGATTACTTTTGGAATAAACGTTATACTTTTGAATCTACTAAATTTCTATTTGCCTAAAACCTTTCAAGTCAAGTGGAATTATATTAACATCTATTTTTCAATAATGGGAACCTGCAATAACAAACTATGATGGAAAATTATCCCTTTATTACCTTGGAGATAAAGTATTCTGTGATGTATTGGTAGGAGAAGTAAGAGGACTGGACCAGTTGGCTGGTGAACGTGGTGTTGGTCTTGTCAAAGGACTCCCCATGGAACTCTGATGGAGGGAGTCAAATAAATATTAATGTATGATAATTGTGTTAAGTTCAACTAAAAGGCTCTTAAGAAAGGCATACGATCAAGAAGTTGAACAATAATGAAAGCCATATTTACAGATCTACCATTTAAATATTCATGTACTTATCTCTGATTTCTGTAGAAAAAAACATTCTCCCCATTTAGAAGTCTAACTCTTTAGTCTTTTTTTGTTCTCTTCACTCACTTCTGACTTTCCCTTATTACCAATATCTTTTCATCAAAGATTCAACACAATCCCAAATTAAGAATTTTAAATTAGTTTCCTGTTTTGAGCCAATTTCCTTTTTCTTTTTGTTAATCCTCACCTGAAAATATTTTTTCCATTGAATTTTGAAAAGAATGGGAGAGAGAGAGTGGGAGGAGAGGGAGAGGGGGAAAGAGAGAACCAGCAATGTGAGAGACACATCAATTGGTTGCCTCCCACATATGCCCAGACTGGGCAAGGATTGAACCTGCAACCCAGGTACATGCCCTTGACCAGGAATTGAACCCATAACCCTTTGGTGTGTGGGCCAACGCTCTCAACACTGCACAACAGCAGCCAGGGCTCAAATTTTATTCTTCCCTGAGTTTGATTTACAAATGATTTTCACAAGTCACCAAAGGCATAAAAATCTGATCATACTATAAATTTGCCTATCTCTTATGATGTGTAACAAAATAATCCCTTCTCCTTTTAAAAAGATAACTTACTTTGGTCCCAGGAAATTATTCTCAGATTGTTTTTAACATTCACACTTTACTTTAAGCTTGCCATAAGTGAATCTATTCTCTCCTTTATCCAGGTCTGTCTTTTAAAAAAAGTTCAATTTTTTAGGCATATTACATAAATGATCCTATACCATTTAGATATATATAACTGCAATGTTTCATTTACTCAAACTTTATTTCCCTCAAACAAAATCCAATATATCTAGCACCTTTGGACTGACAAGCCTGTAATTATTAAATATGAACACATCTTTTAAAAAATATACATTTTTTTATTGACTTCAGAGAGAAGGGGAGAGGAAGAGAAAGGTAGAAACATCAATAATGAGAATCATTGATTGGCTGCCTCCTGCACGCTCCACACTGGGGATCGAGCCTGCAACATGGGCATGTGCCCTGAATAGAACTGTGACCTCCTGGTTCATAGATTGACACTCAACCACTGAACCACACCAGCCAGGCTGAACACATCTTTTTAAGCACTACCCTCTTTGGATTTATACATTAATTCTGGAATAAGTTATCCCTCTAATCCTCAAATAAGAATTGGTTCATCTAAATAGCATGTTCTAATTTAATGGCATGCAAAATCAATGCCTTCATCTAAGTTCTTTTTTTAAAAAAATATATCTTTATTGATTTCAGAGAGGAAGGGAGAGGGAAATAGAGATAGAAAAATCCATGATGAGAATCATTGATTGACTGCCTCCTGCATGTCCCCTACTGGGGATCAAGCCCACAGCGTAGGCATGTGCCCTTGACCAGAATCGAACCTGGGACCCTTCAGTCCACAGGCTGATGCTCTATCCACTGAGTCAAACCTGCTAGGGCAGCCTTCATCTAAGTTCTTGCTCACATTTCTTTCCTTATTCATATTCTGGTCACCATTCACCACCCTAATCTATACCAAATTATAATATAAACATGACAGGCCTAGGGATTCTATTCTTTCTGGGGCAACAGTTAATGAGGCTCAAGAAATGCTATCTAATGTAGATGCAAACATTACATACTAGGGATAAAAGTTTACTTCACATAAAAAAAAAGGCAATAATTGTTAAACCAACCATCATATTATACTAGAAGCCCGGTGCACGAATTCATGCACCAGTGGGGTCCCTGGGACTGGCCTGTGGGATTGGGCCAAAACCGGCTCTCCAATATCCCCTAAGAGGTCCCGGATTGTGAGAGGGCGCAGGCGAGGCCAAGGGACCCCATCAGTGCACAATCAGGGCCAGGGAGGGATGTGGGAGGTTGGCCAGCTGGGGAGGGAACGTGGGAGGGCTCTAGGGCGTGTCTGGCCAGTCCTGTTCAGTCCCAATCAGCTGGACCCCAGGGCATATCATAGTGAGCAGTTGAGTGGCCTTAGCATATCATTAGCATATTACGCTTTGATTGGTTGAACAGCCAACTGGACAACCAGACACTTAGCATATTAGGCTTTTATTATCTATAGTAATAAAAGGGTAATATGCTAATTAGACCAGACATCTTCTGGACGTCATTCCTGATGAAGCTGGGGCCGGGAGGTGGGGAAGCTAGCCTGGATGCTGGGTGCCTGCCGGCAGCCGGAGGAAGGAAGCCCAGGTCCTGGGTGCCAGAGAAAGCCGGTGCTGGACGCCAGGGGAAGGCCTACTCTTGCACGAATTTTCATGCATTGGGCCTCTAATCTACACTAATAAAAGGAAAAATGGTAATTGGCGTACGACGCTACCCTTTTCATTGGCTAATCAGGGCTATATGCAAATTAACTGCCAACAAGATGGCGGTTAATTTGCATATGTAGGCACAATGCAGGGAG